GGTATATTTTCCTTCTGAATGTAACACTTTGTGTATCTGATGAAGCGAACGCTGGCTCATGAAAGCTTAGGCCACAATAAACTCTGTACTCTTTAAGGTACCACACAGCTCTTTTGGGATTTTAATAAACATGTTTATTAACATTGCACCTGTACAAGATTGTGGCCAGGTCTCTTTATGTTGTTGGCAATCAAGATTTAAATCTAACATGTTTTCAAATTCTTTTGTTCCAAGTGTCGTCAAGCTCGACGCACTAGGTCTGAGGTCACGTTGCTGTGGAAAAATAATATTCCTATCATGGTAGAAGTGATGCTACTTCCAGACTGTTGCTATAGCGATGAAGGGCCAGCCACAGAAGGGAACGATTTAAATGATCCTGCAGTCAAGCAAGATGCCTTGTTACTAGAGAGATGGATTTTGGAGCCAGTTCCACGACAGTAAGTTTGTATACATGGGTGGGTCTAAATTTGCTAAGATTCCTGCATAATTTGAGAATTACCATCTGATGTGTATTTGGTGGTTCCATTTTCATCTTTAGATCAGTTTTGTAAGATTCCATTTTACTATTTATGAAATGATAATGCAGTATTTAAATGAAGTATTTTCCTGCAACTTTTACACATTGCCTGTGCAAAGTATTGCTGTCTAGTTAAGTGTATTAATGTTTTACAATTACTTGAAGTGGATAAATGAGTGAATCCACAAACAGGAAAGTTGCTAAACTTTCTGTTCTGGATGGCATTCTTAAAAGTGTGTGCTTAACTTTATCTAAATATAATTAGCTGAAATATTAATGTTTTGTCAGCATGCTAAATATTAGAGAGCAAAATTGATTTTTGCTGGTTAATGCTGTTTGTTTTGATAAACTTGGTATCCCTGCATGTTTTTAAACTGTGTACTGAATCACATTTTCCTGTAGTCTGTTTAAAAATGTCTTAGAACGGGAAATGAAATCTTGCAAAATAATAAAAAGTCTTCCCCCCAATACTTCCACCATCCACCAATGCCAAAACACTCTTCTGCTGTTCTGTGTGATGGGTCTCACTGGTCTCTCTCTCTCTGTTTGGATATATTTTTAGAAGCGGCGACCGATTTATTGAAGAGAAGACCCTCTTATTGGCTGTCCGCTCTTTTGTGTTCTTTTCTCAGTTGAGCGCTTGGCTGAGTGTTTCACACGGCGCAGTCCCACGCAATATTCTCTACAGGTATGTCAGAAGTCCAAACTGTTGTTCGTATGTTCTTAGCAAGCACTGAAGGATACATTTTTGTTCCCAGCTCTCTCTCTCTTCTGAGAGCAGATAGTGGCTGTACTTGTGTGTGAAGAGGTGGTACTGCCTTAAAATACCAAATGTCCCTTTGTGTTTAACGTTTCAGAGTAAGCGCGGCGCACGTAGACCTGCAGTGGACTTTTTCCCAGACGCCAACAGAGCATTTCTTCCCCGTTCCTAATGTTTCTCACAATGTGGCCTTGAAAGTCAGCGTCCAGTCCTTGCCGAGACAATCTAACTATCCAGTCCTGACGTGCAGCATTCACACCAACCTCGGTTTTTATGAAAAGAGGGTAGAAGAGCGTGGTGGACATCAGCACTGTGATTCCATCAGGGCAGAGCAATGCAATACGCCCGCCTCGCAGCACTTGTGCGGCAAACTGCTGTGGCCCGAAGGCGTGCTCAGTGCCAAAAAAGGCCCTGAGCTCGGCACAGCTGTCAGAACCCTGAAATTGTTTCCACCGGCCAGGCTTGGATCAGACTTCAGGGCATCGGAGTCTAACCTCCAGTGCTATACAGCTACCGTTGAGAATAAGAAACTATTGCAGGAAACCTCAGAAAGAGTACTAAAGCCTTTGGCCGACTCCTCCAATGGCTACTCTTTCTGCCATTCGTTAGGAGAGTCTATTCCATTGATAGGCTCTTTACTCCAAGAGCGGCACGAGGTTATAGCAAGGATCGCCCAGCATTTGATTCACTGTGATCCAGCAACGTCACCTATTATGGGGCGGCCGTTCAACGGGAACGAAACGGGTTTGGCTAACTCAAAAGCCACACGCACTGTGCACGAAGATGAAAGTTTGCTGAGAAAAGGCAAGGAGCTGTCCTCTGGTTCTATGGCTAACTTACAACTGGCTTCATCCGAAAACAGCAATATAGGAAAAACCCGAATAATACCAGAAATTCCGCTCTCCAACTCCCAGAGTCCAGTGACCCAGCGCTCCCGTCAAACCATAGAGGAAGCTAACCCACTGATAAGTTCTTTACTTCAGGAGCGGCAGGAGGTTATAGCTAGGATTGCCCAACACCTGATTCACTGTGATCCACCAACTTCGCATGTTACTCATCCTGTGTTCAACGTGCATGAAATTAGTTCAGTTAATCCAAAGGGTTTTCATAGTTCCTGTGAAGAGGACTGCCTGCCGAAGAAAGGCAGGGAAACTTTGTCAGATCCCTTCTCTACTTCAAGGTTGAGTTCTTTGGAAGACAACCTAAAAGCAAAAGGCAAAACACCAGCAACCCCTCTGAGTTCCTTTAGATACGATGTCGAATCGAAGGTATCTCCAAAACCCCAAGCAAGAAGAAAATTGCTTCTTGCAGAGCCCAGTGATGTAGTCCAAAATACATTTCAGCCGTCTCCTTCTGGTAGAAATACAAATCCAATTACTTTTACGATCCAGTCATGTAAGAAAGAAGATAATAGAGCAGAACTGGCAGATAAATTAGAAGCGGTACTTTCCGGTTCTCCCCGTAAGCCCCGAGCAGTATACAAAGGTATTGCCAAGCAGTGTTCCCCTTCCAGTTGTAGCGATGAACTGATTTGCACAGATAAACTTAAGGACAGAACAATCGCTAGCGAAAACGGCAACACAGACTGTTTAAACAATCCATCGTCAGACTGGTCTAGAATACTTGAAAATATTAAAGTGACTGTAATGCAGGCACCTGACAGTTTGCACAAAAGCGAGCCGAAGCGCTTAAGCCAAGACTCTAAACAACCAAATATTTGCGAGCAGAACTCCCAGCTCACTAGTATTGAAAACTATTTGCATAAAGACCACGAAAGTTTCCAGTGCAAAAACAAGCAAGAAAAAGTGAAAAACGCACACGACGAGAACAAAGACCCGACAGACTATGCAATCCAAAAACGTTTGCAGAAGAAACCCGTAGAAGACGGCTCAGCTCCTGGTGAACAAAAGAGAAACGATGTGCTGGTGAGTGGTGTTTTAACTTAGACTTATTCAGTGTCTGCCCCCATCTTTCCCAAAACAGCTGCTTCAGCATACTGATGAGTCTAGCAGGGGAACTTGGGTGGGTGGGTGGGAGGGGGAGGGATTCTGAGCTAAAGCTCAATCCAGACACACAGGGGCTTGGTGTTTGACAGCCGTCGTCCCTGCTCCAGCCCCCAACTGCTTTCATTTACGTTAGTCTCAATGGTTTGTGAGTCAGCTGAAATAGTTCCATCAAAATCACATTAATACTATATGTTAGGGTTACCGTATTTTGAAAAGCAAAAGAGACTACTTCTCGACTACTTCAAACAAGTGGTTGCTGTGACAAATCTAATTTTTAATACTTCTACTATTTAAGATGTGATCATTGCTACCAACTAGGATTATTCCTAACCTTCCAACCCAAAAAGAGGACATGTCCTCTAAAAGGAAGACGTCTGGTAACCCTACTATGTGCGGAGATTCATACTTGTAAGGTTCTTTTCCTTGTGCTGTTTGCTAATACAGAGTGCTCTGTATGGCTTTATCTAAAGGACTGGTCAAAACATCATGAGGCTATAAAACATAAAGGATAGTTCTCGAAGGAAAACTTTTCAACTCCAATGTGTCTCTTAACTTTGATCTGGCAACCCTGGGACCTATATGCTATAGTTTGGTTTCTTTTAAAATAAATAAATGATGCCCGTTGGTGCGAATGAAAACTGAGTCAGCATGCACGAGCTACTGGGATCTTTGAAAACTATAATTTGACAATTCATCTGTTTTGAAATAGGCTATAATCTTAAAATGAGCCACCAAAGGCACTTCTGCAAGGGAGGCTTCCCATTTCTTTCAGTTCAGTGTTTTGGCGCTAAATTGAAAGCCCAAAGAGGTTCTCCCTCCCACTTCCAAAGCAAGGATTATAATACGTTGTTGGAAAATCCCTCTCATATGTACTCAAGTACCTTAGATTCTGCATGCACTGGATCTGCAGTTGTCTCAACAAGTAGCCTAAACAGATGGAGAGCCTGGGTATAAATCCAACCTATTACATGAACTGTAGAAATGGCATATACTAGAAGATATGATAACACAAATCACTTCTGCAGATGGCTAGAATGCTTAGCAGCACTGTATTTTATTTGTATTGATTTCCGATATACGTAGCCTATTTTTCTCCCCTTTTTTGTGGACAGAGAGCAATACCACTTAAACATGTTTGGCGGAGAAACAATTTTCACCATTTGGATGGGACTTCCACCAAGGCTTTCCATCCTCGAACTGGATTGCCTCTACTTTCAAGCCCTGTAAGCGTCTCTATTATATTGCTCTTACCCCTATCACCTTTTCTAGAGGGCAGGAGAGAGTTAGGCACTGTACTGCACACTCTTCAGATCTCTGCCCATCATACTGATGGGTTTCTGGGCTGTGCAGAACACGATCTCGGAAACTTCCAGAGCTACAAAAAAGGTGCAGAACTCAGAGTGTTCCTTCTAAGTTGAGTTAGTGTGAGCTAGCTCACAGTTTTTTAGCCTCCGGCTCACACATTTTTGTCTTAGCTCAGGAAGGATAGTTCCAGAGCAAAGTAATTTATGCAGCCGCCGGATTACTGGCTCACAGTTTTAATGCCAGTAGCTCACAAAAGCAGAACTTTTGCTCACAAGACTCCACAGCGAAGTGGGAGCATTGGTTGCACCTCTCCAGCTCAGCTCATTTTTGCCTGCTGCCCAGTAGGCACCTCCAGGAACTCTTGTCTTCCAAAGATTTCTTTGTAGAGCTATTTTCTTCAATGTCGTGGGTTCAGCATTACGGGGAAGATTCCCCAGAAAGCCCCCCTGGGCTTCCACCCCCTTCTCCCCCCTTCATCCATGGCGAAGACTACATCCTTTAAGAAGTGCCACAGTCGTGAGGGGGAAGTTACCATTGACATAAATGGCCCTGACTGCTGTCCTCTGTTCCTCAGTGAGGCCTGTAAACACTTCCTTAAAATTCACTTGGCAGCAGTGTGGCAGTCTCTCTCTTATAACGTGGGGACTGTCTGGGGTGGGCAGAAGGATGAAAATCCAAAATGTCCTCTCCCTCATGAGGGTCAGCATCCCCAGCCATTTCTTGGCAAACCCTGGCCTGATCTTTCGACCCTTGTGTGCAGCGGTGAGTTGTGTACCGGGCTCCCTTCACAAAACAAGCTGTTGGCGCCCTCAGCTCAGGTTGCCACGATTGCATGTCGGGTGGCAGAAGGAAACGGGAAGGGAGGGCATGCTTTGGTTTCTTATTCTCCCCCCCCCCTTAATCTTCTCCACCTGGAAGTGACTTGGTGCTGTTAGAGGTGACAGCGCCATGATAGTTCAATAGGAGCATTGTGCGCCTATCCTGCCTCCCTGCGCTAAATGCAGAGGATTTTCCCCACCCACCTTTTTTTTTGCGTTAGTAGGGCTGCATCTGTGAAAGATGAACAGCATGCAGATTATGCTCACTGCATTACTTAACTGCAAGCTGAGTAGTCAGAGCTGCCTGCTTAAACTGGGGGACACATGTTTGGGTTAACAGCTTTTTATTTCTTGCCTTTGTTTCTAGCCCACCTTTCTCGTGGAGGTTCAGGGCAGATCACGCAGCTTTTAAGACCATGCAGTCAAAATAGCATGAGGTATCCAACAAACAATGCCAGTGGGGCTAAGATCGCCAAAAAAATATGAAAAAAGGGCAATAAAATAGAAGCCAGAGACGTGTGGCATCATGTCTCATACTTCACTTGTGTTGCCTTTTTTCTAATTGTTGTGATCCTACTCCCACTGCATTGTTTGCAGTGCAAGAACAGAATTACAAAAGTAGAAAACAGTGCAGCAAAAGCAAGGCAATACATCCAACAAGCAGAGAAATAGGTTACAATCCTGTTATTCCGTATATCTACATGGAGGTTGCCCTCCAGGGACGTATCTGTGCTCTGATGTACATGCAAGGCAAAGCAGACAGTCTTGTGTGGTAGGCTGACAGGTTTGTACCTGGCTTGCATTGAGGGAGACCAGCCTTGCACAGAATGCTGATGAAACTTAATAGATCCCTGTTAGAGTCACAGCACACATAGAAATGATTTTCTGTTGTGCCAGACTACTTGGTTAAAATATCAAACCAATGAATCTATTGCTCCATCTTCCTTTGGAAGCTTATCAGTAATTATGCTGAGATCATTTAAAAACCCTAATGGCACAACACAGTTGAGAAGGAAGCTCCAGGTGGATCTTCATCGTGCTGTATAGAACCGTGGTGCCAGATGGCCCCATTTTCTCAAACGGGATGGACATTCATCCCGGCGTGTCGGTGGACAGGTTGCCCCACCGTCTAACTCGCTTCCATTAAAAAAGTAACATTGCACACTTTATTATTTGAATTTTTTATATCAGGATGTGCAGACTAAGTGCATGTGTGTTCTTATTTTAAGGTTCCTGAAAGGAAAACACGTTCTGGCTGTTTCGATCTCGATGCGTCTCTGTTACAGTTGAAATGTCTGTCCTCCAAAAGGTACTTTTTAAAAAGCTTTTTTAAAAAATGAAGATACAAACATTAGAAAATGTAAATAGTTAGAAAATGTAAATAATAATACTGAATAAACAAGGATTGTTTTGGAGAAAGTGCAAATGCTCAGTGCATCAGACTCAGGTAGTTCATGTGTCTTATAACTTCTTTGCTTGCAAAGTTCTATAGTATGTAATTTAGTAAAATGTTTCCTATAAAATAGTGTGCTTCTAATGCTGTGATGTCTTATACTAAAAAGCAAAGACATTGTAAAGCCCTTGTCTGAATGCAGTCCTGTTAATGGCAACAGTATTAATTAATTGCTCCATTGTCTACCTTGCTTCCATTTTAAAAAGTAATATTAATTAATTAGAACATTTACATTCAACAAGATGACTGGGGTCTTTAAGGCCTGGCTCACTGAGACAAAGCAGACAGTCTTGTGTGGTAGGGTGACAGATTGGTACCTGGCTTGCACTGAGGAAGGGGGACCAGCCTTGCGTAGGATGCTGATGAAACTTAACCATCAGTGTGTCAAAATGGTTGCACAGAAAGATGCCTGGGCACATACTAGGCTACACAGATGTGGGGGAAGTGTATGCTTCCAAACAGCAAATTAATGAAAGCAGAAACAATGAGAATTGTGTCTGTTCAGGTGTTTCTGAGAGTATCTTAATCGGGGCAGTAGCCCAGAAGTTCTGTAAATTCCTTTAACTTTAACGTACTCTTATAAAGGAGGGTGATCCTGAATCTATGACAACCCCCCTCCCGCACACACAAAAGCATGTATTACTGGACAGAACTGTAACTTGTCTGTGAATGTAAGACCACCACCCCTGTTGATGGAATACCTGGGGGGGAAATCCTAGTCTTGCATTTGAGTAAATGCTGTAGTTCAAAAGTTGCAGCTGGAATACAAATTTACTTGCATGCATATTAATAATGGTTGGGGGAAAAAGTAGTAACTTTTGATTTCTTACAACATTTTTAAATAGTCCACAACATTGTATAAGCAAAGAGAATGACCCAGATGGCCATGAGAAACCATTTCTGAGTTCCAGTGCACCACCTGTAACAAGTCTTAGTCTCCTTGGAAACTTTGAGGTATTGTACATTAATTCTAAAAATCCTCTCTTGTTTTTGTAACTGGTGTACTGATAAGGCTGCTTTGGCTCTGTGGCACAAGCCTGCGATCCTGAGCGTGTTTCCTCTAGAAGCAAGTCCCACTGAATTATTTGGTACTTGTTTACTCCAGAAAACATGCTTAGAATGGCAGCTGTAGTTAGCCGGGTTAGGGATGATGTTAATAGTCTTTCCCCACCTTGCCTGTAGATGGCTTTTTCAACAAAATGTTTTTGTTTCTCTCCCTGTTTTTTTCAGGAGTGCGTGCTGAACTATCGTTTAGATCCCCTGGGTGTTGTAGATGGTTTCACAGCTGAAGTGGGAGCAAGTGGCGTCTTCTGTCCGACACACATGACTCTTCCAGTTGACGTTTCGTTCTACAGTGTTTCTGATGACAACGCCCCCTCCCCCTATATGGTAAAAAGTGGAGCTTTGTAATTACCCTCAGAGATCAGCAGAGCATATTCCTGTGTATCACACTGAATCCTGGTACCTTTCTTGTTGTGAGGATAAAGTAGAGGAGAGGAGAATGGTGTAAGTTGCTCTGGGTTTTCAGTGGGGAGAAAAATGAGGTATATGAAGTAAAGAAGGTATGTGAAGGAAAGAAATAAACTTTTGAACTCAAAGAAGTAGTTTTCGTATCAATAAGTTCCGCAGGGCCTGCAAGACGGAGCTCTTCCGCCAGGCTTTCAATTAGGAGCCGCCGCCAACAACTACCTCATGGGAACATGGGGTATTGGGATGGCCCATTACAAGATCGAGACACAGTGCTTTGACTGATTGTACCGCCGAATCAGGCTCGGAGCTTCATCTACAGGCCACCATCATGCTCTGACTGAATGCTTTAATAACACCGTTGAGCACTTTATTCTGATAATGGTTGTTTTTATGTGTTTTATGTGTTCTACTGTTTTATATTGGCGCATGGTGCCCTTTTTTGTGAGCCGCCCTGAGCCCATTCGCGGGGAGGGCGGGGTAGAAATATAATAATAAATAAAAATAAAATAATTGCACAACACCACATTGTATGTCAGTCTCCTGCAGACATCATTGTGCATATCTGTCTGTCTGTCTGTCCCTATCTATCATCTCACTCTCTGTCTCTCTGTCTCTCATCTCTCAATCTCTCATCTCTCATCCTCTCTATCTCTCATCTCTCTCTCTCATCTCTCTCTCTCTCTCTCTCTCTCTCTCTCTCTCTCTCTCTCTCTCTCTCTCTCTCTCTCTCTCTCTATCTATCTATCTATCTATCTATCTATCTATCATCTATCTATATAGAGATATAGATATATTGGTGTAGAAAGTCCAGGCCCATAGCCAGGATTTGTGGCTTGTGGGGTAATTTTTTTTCTGTTGGGGCTAAAGTTCTCAGTGCAGAAAGAAAAGCCATTTAGCCAATCGAAAGCTGTGACCGGGATAGATCTCTAAACTGCAAGCTGTCAACCACTTTCGATGACAGTTCTCAGCTGCTGCAAGTTAATCACTTCTACCAGCCTAAGCAACAATTCTGAGAACAAGCCGGCAGGTGAGGGTGATGACTTCTATAGTCAAGAAAGCCAACACTCAGGCAGAAAAACTCTCTTCAAGGAGACCAGTTTCTTGACACAGAGTTAGAAGAGATCCTAGGGGCCATGTACTCCAACCCCCCTTGCTCAGTGCAGGGATTGAAAAAAGCATTCGCAGGAGAAATTCTTGTGGGTCTTTGCCTTTAAGAAAGGGGGCGGGCCCCCCAAAGGCCCTGCTTGACCCCTTTTTTCTTGTACTGTTGTGCACAGCCTACTTTTTGGATCTTGAGGAGAAAAAAGGGGCCCTTTTGCAGATGCTGAATAACACTCTCAATCCACTTTGCAGCTGGATTTTACTGTACTAAAGGGGAAAATACACTTGCAAATGAATGCTAGAGTGCCTTGAAAGTTGATTGAAGGTGCATGTGTGAAAGTGTCAAAGGTGTCTGAATTTCCATGGCAGATTCTGTAGGCAGTGCTGTCGATTTAGAAAGTATGCTTATGTTTCAATGGCCAGGTTTCCCTGCAATACACAGGGAGGTACCAGCCTGACCCTTCCCAGTTACCAGCTCAGGGTATGTTGTGTGGTATCTCAGCTGTTTTGTGGTCCTGCACGTTCACAGGTGGTGATGCTGCTGCACGTGTACTTTGTCATCTGCGCGGAGCTCCTGTTTGTTCTTGAGCTCAGAATACAAATTAAGAGTCACCTTGTGACTCCTTGAAATAGATGGGGAGTACATTGGTGGGCACAGCTGTTCCAGGGGCCATTTCACACATTCCCTTTATTTAGTAGATCTTCTTTCCACCTCTCCTCTAAGAACCTCAAAGTGATGTACTTCATTTTCTCCTCCATTTTATCCTTGCAAGCAATACCACGAGGGGGGTGAGATTGGGGTTTGCTTTTTTATTTTAACTGAAAACATTTCTAACTATTATTGTATGCTGCCTTAGAAGGAAAGGCGGGGTAAAAATGTTTTAATAAATGAATGAATTGATAAATATGTTGGGATGAGAGTGCATGACTGACCCAAAGTCACCCAGTAAACGTTCGTGGCAGGGTGGGGATTTGAAACTGGGTCTCCTGGTTTAATGGCCAGCCACCACACAACTTTGGCTGTCCTTCTGTGTGTGTATTGTGGGTGGGTGGGGATCACATGTGAAGCAGCCCTTACACAAACAGCCTCCTAAATACTATTTATTTATTTATTTATTAAATTTGGCTTATATTCTGCCCTCCCTGTGAGCGGACTCAGGGCGGATGACAACAGGAGTTAAAACATTTCACAATAAGTATTAAAACATTTCATAATAGATTTTCCACAATAGTTAAAACAGATTAAAACAAAGCTATAAACAAGACAGATGGCATGGCAGTTTGGTATGGGTAGTCACCAATGTTCCCTCTAAGCTGTAGAGTCTTGTGAGCAAAAATCCTATTTGGTGAGCTACCGGCATTAAAGTTGTGAGCCAACGATTTGGCTATTGCACGAATTGGTTTGCTCTGGAGCCAATAGATGGAATAATTGGATGCCCACCGCCTCACCCGAAGGCCTGGCAGAGCAGCTCCATTTTACAGGCTCTGTGGAAGTGTAATAGGTCCCGCCAGGCCCTGATCTCCAACGGAAGCAAGGCCCACCAGGGCAGAAAAAGGCCTTGGCCCAGGCTGAGGCCAGGCAGATGTCCTTTGGGCCGGAGACAACCAGCATACACTGTCCAAGGCAGTCAAGTACCTAAGCAGCTATGCACAGCAAAGGCTGCTGGATAATCCGAAACAGATAATGTGCATGAAGGTTTCGACCTGTTAGATGAGGGTTATTGCCAAAAGTGCTAGCTGTGTATTCTGTAGAGTCAAGTGATCAAAGCAGAAGATGGATTCCCAGCTTCTGTGCTTTCTGAAACATCAGTGGGCTTTCATTACCACCGTGCAAGGCATAGACTGAAACCAGGAGATTGTTAGCTGGTTCCCAAGCAATGCATTGCATGTCATTCTGCATGAAAGAGATTGTTTACTTTGCTTATAATTTGGAGATGTTCAGCATAGTCAGAGTGTTAACTGTCCTGTTTCCCCCCCCCCCCTTTCAGGGTGTAATTGCTCTAGAGTCCCTTGGTAAAAGGGGTTATCGGGTACCTCCTTCAGGAACAATACAAGTGGTAAGTACCTGTTGTATACAGTTACTTTAATAACCCTCTCTCCAATTTGTGTGCCTAGGAATTTGCTTCTAAACCAAACTAGGTAAGCTTCCTAGCTGTTCTGGAAGTGCCCTTAGAACAGGTGTGACGTGCTCAGGGTGCCTAGCACCAGGTAGTAACCAGGCCTGCAAGCGTTTTTGTACCAGCTGGAGTCTTCTTCTTTTTTTAATAATAACTTTTTGTTTTTAAATTTAATAAACATACCAGTGGAGCAATGCCACAATAACAAAGGAAGCGGTTAGGAAAGTTACAAACAATGGAGAGTCATTTCACAATTAAAAGTTCAATAATGACAAAATAAAGAGTAAATGGAACCATAAAACCTTATCATTACTACCAACTGGAATCTTTTTTGATTCCATATTGGGCAGTGGACTAGTTGACAGTGGGACTTAAAAAGGGTCATTTTTTGTTTTAACACAGTTTTCATTTAGTGTTCCTAGAAGGAAAATGGGGAAATGATGTAGGGAATTATGGAATGAGTACATAATTGTTTGGCAAATTACACTATCCATGTCACGTTCTGAAGAGATTGCGTGAAGACGCTTCACAGGAATTTAACTCGGGCAAAGGGCTACTCAAGGCTTTCGGTGATTACTTGGATAGAATTTAGGATGCTTCTGTCTTAGTTGCTGCTGACAGGGACTACAGGTAATATAGGCTGCAAAATCAAAAACCTGAAATAGTTGAGAATGTCCATGATTTGGAAGTCCCATTAATTTCTTTTTTAAAGTGAAAATATAGTTAAAATGTAGTGAGGAAAAATTATATTGCTTGAAAATAAAAGCAATGGCATTCATCAGACGGACAAATAAGCAATGAGGAGAACACAAAAGATTACTATAGGATTAGGGATAACTAAACTAACACCAGTGAAAAAGGACTGCTTTGCAGTGGGTGACAATCAGTATCTGAAGGTAGTTGGGTAACAGTGTGCCACTGCTGTAAAAAAGGTGCTGCTGTGGGTTGTGTTAACAAGCTCTTTGTGCAAAAGACAAAACTGTAATTGGAGCTTGGCTACAGAGCCACGGCCAGTCATGGTTACCACAGTTTTAAGGAAGAAGTGAACAAAATTGGAGAGGAATACAAGAGAACAGTTAAAGCATGTTAGAATTTTGAAACAGCAGAAAGAATGAAGCATATTTAGCTGCCATAAAGAAACTGCCTTTCCAAACAGCTATCCATGGATACAAAATGTTGCATTAGCAAGTGAACCATTCTCAGAAGTAGGGACGAATGAAATGTAGGTAGATCGTGAGTAAAAACAGGTTGCTTACCTGTAACTGATGATCTTCGAGTGGTCATCTGTGCATTCACACCCATGGGATCTAGTGCGCACACGCTGGATTGATTGGGATTGTATCTTAACGGATTCTCGCGCCTAGACCTCGGGCATGCGCAGGAACCCCACCATGCATGCCCAGAGGGGTGGGCGCGGACATCCCGCTAGTTCCTTCGAACCAGTATCACTTAAAGACTAACAAAATTTGTGGCAGGGTAGGAGCTTTCATGGTCACTGAAGTGAGCAGTGACTCATGAAAGCTCCTACCCTGCCACCAATTCTGTTAGTTTTTAAGGTGCTCTCGGACTCTTGCTCTTTTCAGAACTGAAGAAGTGAGCAGTTACTCAGGAAAGCTCCTACCCTGCCAGAAATCTTGTTAGTCCTTAAGGCGCTCCTGGACTCTTGCTCTTTTCAGATCTGAAGAAGTGAGCAGTGGCTCATGAAAGCTCATAGCCTGCCACAAATGTTGTTAGCCTTTAAGGTGCTCCTGGACTCTTGCTCTTTTCTACTTGTAAGGCTGGAATGCATCTGAATGTGCTGATACTGCCGTTGGAGCGGGAGGCACTTTAGGGGCATCACCCAGTGCAGACACCGCTACCTTCCCCTTCTTTGCCGCCTTTAGGGACTTAGAGGGGTCCTTTTTTGTGGACTTGTGCTCCTTACTTGACTTGGGCTTCTTCACCGGAGTGGAAGCAGAGGATAGTGCCTTCGAAGCCGGTGGCTTCGACGTCAGTTGACTGATGTCGGAGGAGGACCTCTATGTCGGAGCCGGAGCCGTCGATGGTCTCTCGGACTCCATCACTGAGGGAGGATGTAACGCCGACTCAAGTAGCGCCAATTTAAGGCGCGCAGCTCAATATTTTCTTGTCTGGTTCGAAAACCTAGCACAGTGCCGACAAGACTCAGGTCGGTGAGATTCCCCCAAACAAAAAATACCGAGGGTGTGGCGGTCAGGTGGAGCAAGTTTACTGCCGCAACCCTTGCAACGATTGAAAAAGCCCCACTTCTTCTCCATTAAAAAAAAAAACGGAGAAGAAAGAAGGGGTTTTGGGGGGGGGGGGGGCCAAGGGCAAACTGGAGGCAAGCCGAAGGCCAGACTGAGGTAAACCGGCAACTTCCCCCTCAACGAAAAACAACTTTTTTTTTGAGTTTTTGAAGAACAAATGAAGAAAGGTTAAGAAAAAAGAAGAAAGCTGAGGAAAAATCCGAAGAGCCGTGAGGCAAATAGCCAAAAAAGAGAACCGATCAGACAAACGAAGAAAAGGTCTTTCCAACACGACGGTAAGAAAGGAACTGGCCTGATGTCCGCGCCCACCCCTCTGGGCATGCGCGGTGGGGTTCCTGCGCATGCCTGAGGTCTGGGTGCGATAATCCGTTAAGAGCTTGCTACAATGCCGATCGATCCAGCGCGTGCGCACTGGATCCCATGGGTGTGAAGCACAGACACCACGTCGAAGATCTGTATTTGTCATTGGGGCACTTCAGATATATAAAACACAAATCCCATGGCACCTGGAGGACTAACATTTATTTTGATACGAGCTTTCGTGAATCACCGCCTCAGTTCTTCAGATAGATAAAACTCACTTGACCTGAGGCAATGGTAGAACTAAATGAATATTTGTGTGCTATAGGAGATGACATCTTTCTCTGGAGGTGTATTATCTACAGGCATCTCTGGAGCTGTGTGCTTTATGGTCTATGTGTGCACTATGTTGATTTTGGATGAAATGATGAGTGCTGGGAAGCTGCCTTAGGTGAATTTCAGATGCATTCCAGCCTTACAAGTAGAAAAGAGCGAGAGTCCAGGAGCACCTTAAAGGCCAACAACATTTGTGGCAGGGGAGGAGCTTTCATGAGCCACTGCTCACTGCTTCAGATCTGAAAAGAGCAAGAGTCCAGGAGCACCTTAAGGACTAACAAGATTTCTGGCAGGGTCGGAGCTTTCATGAGCCACTGCTCGCTTCTTCAGTTCTGAAAAGAGCAAGAGTCCGGGAGCACCTTAAAGACTAACAGAATTGGTGGCAGGGTAGGAGCTTTCATGAGCCACTGCTCACTTCTTCAGTGACCATGAAAGCCCCTACCCTGCCACAAATTTTGTTAGTCTTTAAGTGATACTGGACTCTTGCTCTTTTCTACTGCTACAGACTAACACGGCTACCAGCCTTACAATTGTGTAGTTACACAGACAATGGTATAGGTTTGTGTGTGTGTGTTTCAGGGTAAATTAGTCTTTTAATAGTTAACACTTTCTCAATCTGACCTGAATTTTCCTGGAGCAGTATTCAAAACATGTGACCTGAGAATACTGCAGAGTTGTTGGTATTGGGTAAAAAGTGAGGTAATTTTAGTGAGATGCATCAGCACATGGGGGGATCCTGAAGATGAAGTTCAGGCCGTGGAAAATTGTAGCCTACTTTCTTCTTTACCGAATGCAGCTGCTGGGGATGCAGTTTGAAGGGGGAGGTGAACTCTTTTAACTTGTGCTCCCCTCCCCGACCAAAAGCATCTGTGAGGGGCCGTTTTCAGCAGAAAACAGAGAGAAGAAAGGGATTCCATAGCCCCTTCTCCCTTTGTGCCGGTTGCCTTTGTCGAACCACAGCCTCAGCGACTGGTGGAACCTGCTCCCATGTGAGACCAGAGCCCCGCGGGACCTATGACGGTTCTGCACGGCCTGTAAGACGGAGCTCTTCTGCCAGGCCTTTGGCTGAGGCAGCGGGCGCCTGACCCATCTTGGCCTCCCCTGCCTTTGGTGCCCTTGGCTCCTGACTTGTGTATATCAGGGTACCCGCCACCCTCGGCTTAAAAACTGCTATAAATTGGGCTACCTATTACCGTCTGTTTAAAAATGTTGTGAGCTGCCCTGAGCCCGCTTGTGGGGTACAGTGGGATATAAGTTTAATAAATAAATATAATATAAAACCACTTAAGTACAGAGCTGCATGGAACATGCAAGTCTGCGCTGAGCATCTGCATTTGCAGATGTGCTGGTTTTAAGAGCGTGCCTGTTGTTTGTGTGTTGAACATGTACTCACAGAAAATGCAGTGCCTGAATAATCCTCAAAAATCTATTAAGGTGTTGATGGAAGAAATTAAAGCTTATGGTCAAGTATGGCTGAGGCAGCAGGCGGCTGACCCATCTTGGCCTCCCCTGCCTTTGGTGCCCTTGGCTCCTGACTTGTGTATATCAGGGTACCTGCCACCCTCGGCTTAAAAACTGCTATAAATTGGGCTACCTATTACCGTCTGTTTAAAATGTTGTGAGCTGCCCTGAGCCCGCTTGTGGGGTACAGTGGGATATAAGTTTAATAAATAAATATAATATAAAACCACTTAAGTACAGAGCTGCATGGAACATGCAAGTCTGCTCTGAGCATCTGCATTTGCAGATGTGCTGGTTTTAAGAGTGTGCCTATTGTTTGTGTGTTGAACATGTACTCACAAAAAATGCAGTGCCTGAATAGTGGCTAAAAATTGGAAAACGGACAAAATGCCCTCGAAAGAGGACCTAATAGTTAAATTTCTGGAGTTAGCCCAAATGGATAATTTGAGTTTAATACTGCAGGATAAAGATAAAAAAATACAGAATAAAAGATGGTTAAGGGTTTACAACTGGGTAAAACATGTAAAAATAGAATAAGAAAAGGAAAAGTGGAATGAACTATAGAGTACATAAGGCATGTAACATGATGCAATGACTCTAAAAATTTGTGTAATCTGAGATAATGAAATGTTTGTAACTAAACTGAAACTATGAAAAATAAACATGGGGAAAAAAAGAAATAATAATAATGAAAGCTTGTGGAGCAATAAACATGGTGAGCCCTTGGGGAAAAAAAAAAGCAGTGCCTGAAAAGCCACCTTTTGCTATGCTGCTGGATGCCCAGGGGCTTGATAGGGAGCTAAAAGGCAAACAAGTTAGCAGAAGGAATTCAGCTTTTGAGCTGGCTGCTCAAATTAATAGGCACACAAATTAATAGGCACACAGCTGGCTATATTGGGCGGGGCTGTGGCTCAGTAGTAGAGCATCTGCTCAGCAAGCAGAAGGTCCCAACCTCAGTCCCCAGCATCTTCAGTTAAAGGATCCAGCAGTAGCTGATGTGAAAGACCTGAGATCCTGGAAAGCCATGGCCGGTCTGACTCTCCCGAACCAAGGGGTCTGATTCAGTAGAAGGCAGCTTCATGGGTAGTATGGATTCATGGTAATCTGCTCTATTCCTTCTGTTGATATGTAGATTAGTCAGGATGATGAACAAAACAGGTATGTAGTTTGTTCCCATAGTGTTTTCCAGACCGCACTTATTCAACATGTTTGACCTGTGCATTCAGCAGTCTGTGTGGAGTACTTTTCTCGTTCTGAAGTTGTCATTTTGTCCTTTCCCCAGACCTTATTTAATCCTAACAAGACTGTGGTGAAGATGTTTGTGGTGATCTATGACTTGCGAGAGATGCCGGCCAATCACCAGACATTCCTACGGCAAAGAACCTTTTCTGTCCCCGTGAGACGAGAAACAAAGAGAAGCCTCAACAAAGAAAACACTCGGCGTTCTGAAGACAGGCTTCTTCGCTACCTCATTCATCTGAGGTGAGACTGCTGAGAAAGGGCAGAGAGAGCTCTTTCCCGTAGTGGGTTTTTTTTTTCTTTCAAGCAAGAAATGCTGTTTAAAAAAAGTCAGAGTACCAGTAAAACCAACAGCTTGCTTTTCAACAAATCCTTTTGCAAGAAGACAGTGAAATTTAGACTAGTCAACAGTGCTTTTGCTTGTGTAGGTGAAAGTCAGATCCTGGAACAATAGATCTGAAACAAGTGACTCAAGTTTAGTTGCTGAAACCATACAAGTTCTTCTCTGCAAAACAAATGAAGTCATACAACTGTAAATGGCTTTGTGGCAGCATCTGTTTAGAAGGCCCTAATTAAAGTGGTGTCAGCGCTTCCATTGTGTAAAAGCCCCTTAGCAAGAGATTGTCAGCAAAAAGCGTTTCCCCCTGGGGCTGAAACTTGACATACAGGATCAGGTTTTTAGTTTGTTTTACAGAGGCAGCCTTTTAAAACCTAAGAGCCAGTTCTGCTTGTGCAGTTTTTCACACCTGGTGTGTGTGTGTGTGTCAAAACTCCTGGGTGTCTGGGTAGATTCACCTGACATACGATTCCTGACATACGATTTGCTGATGCAAGACAGAGAGCATCACACCAACCTGCAATCCACAGTTCACTGTCTCAAGATTAACCAGGTTCTTTTAGGATTTTCCAGTAAACTGACATAACCGGTTTGGTTGAAGCCTGTAAAATGTGTCATGGCTCTGGACAAGCAATGTGGTGTGGTGCTCAGTGTTGGCCTAAGATCTGGGAGACCCAGGATCAGAACCCTGCTCCCCCTTGGAAGCTCGCTGGGTGACCTTGGGCTGGTCACCCTCTCTTAGTCAAACCTACCTCACAGGTCAAGAGGTACACTGCCCAAAGTTCACTGGAGAAAGGGGTGAGATAAAATGCACGACAGAATATAGTAGCTGTTGTCTGGATAGTTTAATGCCATTGTGTTATTGACTTCTGGAAACTGTTGAGAGAGAAATGCAATAATCAAATAGACTCACCTTTCCCCATGTTTTAACCATTTATGTCTGTATAGAAATATTGATTTCTAAAAACCCATGCCTTCTCCTGTGATGTCTTTCTGATAACATGCTATGTCTTGTTTCCTGTTGAAGCCAAATGGCCTCAATAGCCATGCCATAAACCCACATTCTTTCACACTTCCATGCCAAACGCCAGACCTCATGGCTACACTTTCTGGCCCCACATGCGACAAGTCACGTACTAAATGAAGTAGCTAGAAGCTGGGTCACCTGACTGCAGGAGGAGTCTCCAAACGTCTAGCCATTCCTGTGTTGCAGCTATGGCAACCAACAATTGGACACACCTATGTCCACTCGTGATTGGCTGCATGGCCACAGCTGATCATGAATGGAATTGGGCTATAATTGTTCAATCCCTATGAGAGAGAGTCTCTTCTCTTGCTTCTTGCTCTTGTTCTGGCTGCTTGTTTATTGCACCTGGAAATGCTGTCCTTTGAAGAGACAAAGGATTGCTTTGTGACTTTTAAAGCACATGGAGTGCAAAGATGGGATTTCCCTTCAAAATCCCTTGGTGCTACTTGGATTATTACAATGGACAATCTTGGACTGTTTGATGCTCCTGAACTTGGTAAATATGTATCTTTTACTGTGTAGTTAAGGCAAATCGCCTTAGATTTATTTTGTAAACTCTGGTAGTCTATGCTAAACTCTGTACTGAGTAAAGATCCTCCTGATGGTTAAATAGTCTCTGATGTTGTACCTGTGTTCCAAGTCTAAATCTTGTAGCCTTCTGCTCACCATTTAAACTACCTTTGTAAGAGTAAAAGTGTGCATCTCTGAGTGAGTTGCTAATGTGTTAAGTTCCAGATACCAACTGAGAGTTTGAACCGCTAATCCCAGGTTGGGGGGAACTAATGTAGAGGTCCTGGTGGCATATTGTTCTGAACCAGAGAGGGTTTAGACCATCTCGTGGTTTGTTGTTTAATGTGCTGTAAAAGTACAGGGTTCCCTCCCATTCCTGGACTGGCTTGGGTTGGAAATACCTGTACAATGTCATGGCCCTGTTTAGTCATTTGCCTGAGCCTTAATTAAAAGTTGCAGTTGCTTTGAAGTTTCATCTGCACTTGCTTTTTCAGATAAGCAGTCTGCCTGATCTGCAAAGAGTTGCCACGAGTGGTAGTTGCGTTAACTGAAAATCTAGTGTTTTTTAAAAAAATTGTTTAGTCTGTGTGGAAATATCTCCTGGGCCTCTGCTGTCTCATGCGGCACGCTTTCATTGTGTGGTTTGTTCTCCTGACTAATACTGCTGCTTTGCTCCCCTGTTAGGTTCCAGAGTTCTAAGTCTGGAAAGATCTACCTCTACAGAGACGTAAGGCTCCTGTTCTCTCGGAAATCCATGGAAGTTGACAGCGGCGCCGCATACGAACTCAAATCTTACACTGAATCTCCAACGAATCCTCAGTTTTCGCCCAGATGCTAGTGAGGACGAACCGTGCAAAAGTATTGTGGGATTACATTTTAAAAGATGGAAAGATTTGGCATGAGATTTAAGGTTTAAGTAGAGAAGCAAGTGAGAAGGTGGTCGAGTGAGCATTGAGGCTGTTCTGGGCTCCTGGACCAGTTTTTGGAAAGGCTTCTGAGATGAGCATTTTTGTGTATTCCAAGTAGACTGGAACATACTTAAGTCCTAATCTTTTTTTATATACTGGTTTTAAACCACTTCATTGGATGTGTTGCAATAGCAGATTCCCAAATTAGTTTTAGTGTTTACACCTTTATTTTATTTGTTTTTGGTTATTTAATATTTAATGTTTCTTTTACTTAAGTGACGTTTGTCTTTACTGTTCTAATGTAGCACAAATCCTATGTAAAATCATACTATGTATTTTTGACATTACTATTGAAATCCGAAATATATACAAAAAAGTCTTTACTTTGCTGTGTGACGTGTTTTTAAAGTGATATTTAAGCTGCTTAAAATAAGGATGGGGTTTTGAACTTCCGTTGCGTCTTATCTCTCATACTATGCAAGCATTTAGGGGAAGGTTGGCTCCTTTTTGGCTTTTCTCATATGTCTCATTTCTTTCCTCCACATGAGACCCTTGACAATGTGTAACGTGACGGCTCATTCCGACCATCCACCCCCAACTCATTACTTAGCACTCCTTTCCCCCTTAAAAAGCCTTCCCTTAAAGCATTTCATTTGTCCTAATTGGGATTGAAATCTTACATAACACTGCTGTCCCATACCTGACTTTCTCAGACTGTGTTTTTTAAAAAAGAGATGTACTGTGAAAACAAAGTAGTATTTAATATCTTAAAATATATGTGAAAATAGCAAAATTTGCATTCTGGTTTTTGTTTGGGGACTTTTTTGTGGACTGAAGAGTTTATGTCCGACACACGCCACTAGGTGGCTGTACAAGGTCAACCCTTTCCTTGTAGTGTCTGTTAAGCAGGCAAGTGAAGAAAAGTAATACAAGCCCATGAATGGAAAAGCTGTACCGTTCGTAATTGCTGTGCTCCCTCAAAAAAGTGACTTGTGTTAACATTTAAGATCCAGGCATTTCAAGAGGTAACAGAATCAGAAATAAGAAAAGCTCAGCCTGCATTTGAAACACAGTTGTGCTTGTTTCAATGTTGTTTTGGCCAATCTTACTGAAAGTTACCGTGTCCGTCTGAGAATTACAGATCCCATAGATCCCATTCTAAGCCACATGACGTTCATCTGTTGAAGAGCACCTGGCTTTGATCAGTGCTCAAAGAGAAGATCACTGGGAAATCAGACGTAAGGCCTTTTCAGCTGTCTGGAGGAAAACAGAATATAACAGTAGTAATGCTGTACGAGACCAATTAATGTTGGACTAGAGGTTCATAATCTTGCAAGTTCCTTGTGCATGTGCAGGCAGGGTATTTCCCCCAAAAAGAACGGCTTTGAAGGCACACTAGAACTTAGTTTAAAAAGTGATTACTGGAATGAGGAGCAGCTCTTCAGACCAGAACGCACCCTTCTTTGGACCGCAGATGGGTTAACAATACCTGCAGAAAGAAATCTCTTAAAATATGAATAGGCTTTCCAATCCTATTCCTGTCCATGCTGTAGTCTCTTAAGATGGGGAGGGGGCAATTTTGGCTGGATTCAGGACACTCAATGAAAACAAAACTCCCGGAGAGAATGACTGAATTTTTTGTTTGAAATGCGTTGCGCCCTTATCATTTAAAGGCTTTTTAAATCATCACTTGTTCATGCTGTTTTATTATGATCTTTAAAAGTCCCAGGTGTGTTTTCACAGTTCCAGACGAGCCTGCTCAGCAACTCCATCAGTTTGCAAGAACTAACTGCAACAGCCGTCACCATCAAAGTCTTAGGGTCCCTTAGAAGTTCCAAAATAAACCCACACAACCCATGTGAAGAACTGCTTTAAGGCCTAACACATCCCTGTCTGACATGGCCAAAGACCTGAGTTTCCTCTTGCTGACCTGAAGCCCCTCCCAAGAAAAAAAACAGGTTGCTTACCTGTAACTGGTGATCTTTGAGTGGTCATCTGTGCATTCACACCCATGGGATCTAGTGTGCACGCGCTGGATCGATCGGCATAGTAGCAAGCTCTTTCAACGGATTGTTGCGCCCAGACCTTGGTCATGCGCAGGAATCCCACCGCACATGCCCAGAGGGGAGGGCTCGGGCATTCCGCCAGTTCCTTCAGACCGCCGCAAATCAACCCCTATTGAAAATGTAGAAGCTGACAGCAGCGGGGAAGGAGGGCGGGTGGTGTGAATGCACAGATGACCACTCAAAGATCACCAGTTACAGGTAAGCAATCTGTTTATCTTCGACATGGTCTCTGTGCTTCACACCCATGGGAGATTAGCGAGCAGTGTCCTACCTGGAGGAGGGTGCTGGCAGGTCCTTTACTGCGTAGCCAAAGACAGAATGTGACGTCCCATGTTGGTATTCGTGTTCTTATGGATGTCTAGGGTGTAGTGCCTTATGAAGGTGTTAGGCGTGACCCAGGTAGTGGCTTTACAAATGTCCGTCAGGGGTACTCCCTGGAGGAAGGCAGTGGAAGTCGTAACAGCTCTGGTAGAATGAGCCCTGATAGGGCCAGGCAATGGCTGTTTGTCGATCAGGTAGCAGAGACGGATGAGACCCACAATCGACTTTGACAGGTGCTGAGCTGTGATGCGAGTCCCCAGCCTTGCTGATCCATAAGAGAGGAACAGTTGCGAGTCTCGTCTCATTGGGTGTGTTCTATTGAGGTAGAGCAGGAGAGCCCGCTTCACATCCAAAGTGTGTAAGAGTTTGTCCTCCGCGGATGTTGGATTTGGGAAGAAATCCGGGAGGAAGACCTCCTCCTGCAGGTGGAACTCTGACACCACCTTTGGCAGGAAGGAGATGTTCGGTACGAGGCGGACTCTGTCTGGCAAAAACGAGAGGTAAGGTGTATCATGCTGGAAAGCCAATATTTCTCCCACTCGTCTAGCTGAGGTGACAGCAACTAAAAAGGCCATTTTCCATGCTAGAAGTTTGAGGTTGCAGGTGCAAGCGGCTCAAAGGGCTTCCTCATGAGCTGGCGGAGAACTAGAGAAAGATCCCAGGGAACGACAGGAGTTTTAATAGGAGGGTATATATGCAATAAACCTTTTAAAAAACGTTTCGAAAGCGGATGGGAAAACAGTGTGCATCCGTCGACTTGAACATGGTAGGCCGAAAGGGCGGCCAAATAAACTCTTAAGGATGAATTGGAAAGTCCTGAGTCAGCGAGGGACAGGAGGAATTGGAAAACCTTGTCGAGACCCACAGAGGTGGCTCGAGGGGCGTCATCACCTAGGGAAGAACAGAACCTTCACCATTTATAATTGTAGGACTTCCGCATAGTAGGTTTTCTGGCGTTAAATAGAACGTTCGCTATGCGGGTGGAAAAACCCGCGTTGATGTTATTCTCCACGCTGTCAATTTCAATTGTGCTATGTCGTGATGTAGGAGAGGGGAGTCTAACAGGAAGAGGTGGTCCTGAGCCGGAGGGAATTGATGGTATATTCCCGTTGATAATTCGAGGACTGTCGAAAACCATGGTTGCCTCGGCCACCATGGGGTTATCAATATACAGTTTGTGCTGTCTCTGACTATTTTGCGGACCACTCTTAGAAGCAGAGGTAAGGGAGGGAACAGGTAAAGAAGTCCCATGGACCAAGGGTAAAGGAGACCGTCTCCCAGAGATTGTGGGTCCCCACCTCCTCGACTGCAGAACAGAGGACACTTTTTGTTGGTTCTGGTGGCAAAAACATTGACTGGGGGAAATCCCCACCTGCGGAAGAGTGGGAGGAGGTATGTTGGGTTCATCTCCCACTCGTGAAGGCTGAGTCCTGCTCAACTTAGATGGTCTGCCTGCACGTTCATGTGTCCAGGGATGTGAGTGGCTACGAGGAAAATGTTGTTGGTGATGCAAAGGTCCCACAACTGGATGGCAAGGTTCCAAGGGCGTAGGGAAACAGTGCCTCCCTGCTTGTTGACATAAGAGAGCGCCGTGGTGTTGTCCGTGAGGACCGTGACACATTTTCCCCTGATAATAGGTAGGAAGCTGGTGACAGCATGCTGTATTGCTAGCAGTTCCAGGAAGTTTGTGTCGCTTCCTCTTCTGCTTGTCCCATTTCCCCCCAACAGAAAGGCCCATCGTGTGTGCTCCCCATCCCGTCAGGGAAGCATCTATCGTTAGGGTGATTTGGAGTGACGGCGGATGGAAGGGTGCCCTTTGGAAAAGATTGGAAGGGACAGTCCACCAAAGTAAGGACTCTAGTATGTTTGGGGGGGGGTTAGGACGGTGGTATGTGCGTTCTTCGAGGTATCGAAGTTGCGGATGAACCACAGTTGTAGGTGGCGCATTTTTAGTTTTGCAAAGACCACGAGTCGTGGCCATAAGGCCGAGTAGCCTCTGTATCTGGAAGGCTGTGACCAAGGGTTGGGTACGAATGACGGTGACTAGGTGGATGATGTCTGCCGCTCTGTCTTGGGGCAGGTAAGCCATACATGTCTTGGAATCCAGTAGGGCACCGATGTATTGTATCTGTGTCAGACTCACAGCAAACAATGAAATACACTCTTGCAGGAAGGTTTTATTTTATTGAAGCCATGAAGTACTTAGAACAGATTTTCTGTTCAGAATAACACAAAGGACTTGAGACTGGGATAATAAAGGAAGTTCAAAATAACATGGGCCAATAGATATGATTCCCGCGCCTGCCTTGAGGGCTCATCTCGCGCTCAAACCTTGAGAAAGCAACGGTTGTAGCTAATTAAACAGTTCTTCTATTCTCACACTACTGTTCGTTATAGACTAAGCAAAAAGCCTCCAAACGCGCACCACCTGTAGCTTTGGCTGATAAGATTCCTTCAAAGCAACGCTAGCGTACATGGAAAGGAATGCAGTTGATGAGCGCTTTAGGGTGAGGGGGGACATACGCACCAGAGTCCAAGCCAGTTAAGGAAAGGCAAGATGGGGGGGGGGGGGTTAGACATATCTTATATGCACGGAAAAGACATATTGGCAGCTTGCTGACAATCTGCTGGGCCGTTTGAAGCTGAGACTTCTGGAGATTGATTTGCAAACCCAGATCTTCCAAGAGTACCATTGTCTCGTTGATGTTTGAGACTAGAGTGTCTTTGGATGACGCTACTAGGAGCCAATCGTCGATGTATGGGTAGATGGAGATACCATTGAGACGGAGGAAGACCGCCACCACAATCATAGTCTTTGTGAAGACTCTT